CTGAAGAAACAATACGTTAGAAATTCTGTACTTCAGCTTTTTACTAGAGCTAGTGTTTAAACAAAAAGAACCAGCTCTCCCCTCTAGTTACTGGAAAGACATAGTACAAATGGTATTAATTTGCTCTTGCATGGGAAAATGTTAAATATGAAAGTGGGAATAAAAGCTTTTCATATAAATGTACAGAAATAAATGAAAGGAAAAATACACTGGAGAGAAAAAAGGTATAAAACCAATGATTTCTGGAAACAACAATATACAAGCAGTCAGGAACCAAAGCAGGGATCTACAGATTGATCAAGGTAAACAACTCAGAGGTTCATAAACACAGGAAATTGCTTCTCTACACTCAACACTCTGAAGTAACTCTAGAGGAACAGCGATGCAAATAAGGACTGTTTTCTCTCTATCTCATTTGACAACATTTCCTTTCCCTGTGAAATATAACAAGTGAATTGCATCTGAAAAGGTTACTGAAATATTTTGCTGATGTATAAAAGCTTAATAAAGAAGAAACGTGAGGAGTTTTGTACAGCTTGAACACTTCTGTGATATCTCATCAAGTTATCTGCCATCACTATCAGCACTCACCTCTAGAGTGTTTCTTTTGTTCCTACATTGTAAACGACTCCTGTACTTTTAGTGTCTGCTAATAAACTTTTTCTTTCTTTTGTTGGATATCTGCTAAAAAATATCAAAAATTGAAGTGTCTTTAAAAGGTTGGTTTGTTTTTTAAATGCAATTGTTTATTAAAGGGAGTAAGATGGGACACCTTTAAGAAACTACCAGCACACAGTACTGGTTGAGAAGCAAAAGCGATTGTCAGAAAAATCACAGACATAAATAAGCACCAGCACAGCGTTTCAAGACTCCTCTCACCTCTCACCGTTTGCACGCTGCTGTCTCAGGAGCCATAGCGGTGGTAGGAAAATGACTTGTAAAGTAATGAAAAAATGTAGGGCTTTTATTTTTGTTACAAGCATATTCTTAAATGTTTTTGCTTTCTTTGGATAATACTTCTATGCAGTAGGACAGAGATGAAGAAGCAGGCCTACCACTGTTGCTGCAGAAATGGGATCCTTTGGTCACGGATGCAGAGATCTCAGAGGCAGCTCTGGGGCAGTAATGGCAAGCATCCATTTAGATCCTGCCAGCACTAGGATCCCAACACGTGGCAATAACTGTTACAGAAGTTCTCTGCTTGGGAGATGTATGCTGGAGGTCTTTCATTTAGCACTTAACTGAAATGTATAAAAAATATCCTCCCCGCAAAAGAACCACTGTTCCGAGGAAACTATTTTAAACTTCATTATAATGAATGAAGATGAAATTTTAATCACAGGCCTGGAAAACTGGTTTTTGCCTAAAGAACAGTAATAATTACCAGATTTCATTCAATATGAGCAAACAGAAGACCGTAATTTAAAATGGCTAAATTGCCATTAGCTTTTTTACTTTCAGTATCGCTTAGTTAGGAAAAAAAGAGAATGAAGTTGAATCATTTAAAATACTTAGTTGGTGGCCTAAGCTCTACATTTTCTTCATTAAAAACAGACAGTTTGTAGCTATGAGTGTAGGAGAGTTCAGTTGAGAAAAGAGATTTAAGAATACAGAAGTAGTATCAAACAGAAAGGTGATGAAACCAAACAGATATCAGCACAAAAATAACAAGTCTTCAAATCTCTCAAAGCCGCTTCAGGAAAGCAAGTAGTTCTGGAAAAATTCCCAGTTGAAAGGACTAAAAGAGGATACAGAACAACAGAGTAAGCCCTTAGAAGGAAGAAAATAAAGTTAATGGCGCAGAGAAGACTATTGTTTTGCAAAAAGAGTAAGACAATACAAGAGCATACTTCAGAGTTGGTGGAGGTCATCTGGGACTCCAGGTGAGCTTGTTTTCAGTCCAGAAGTAACTGATTTAATGAACATATGCTAACAAGTGTTAATCAGCCTTTTAATTTGCATTCAATGCATTTAAAAGAGCTGGCTCTGAACATGTTTTATTTGCCAATGTTCTTTTTTGCAAACTACAATGGAAATTCCAGAAGATCAACACTGTGCTGAAAATGGGCAACTATCTTGGAATAGCAAGTTGTGTGTTCCAGGTACATACGAGCTCATTAACCTCCCTTGAACCCCAAGCTAAACAACAGGAAAGCTGATGGGATTCAATTAAAAATTATTAAAAGGTCTGAAATTCAATTAACGACAGTCAACAATTTTAGGAAACCAGTTTTCATCAAACAAGCACGAGTTCATCTTCTGATGAGATTAAAAATGTTCTCGATAGAGGCAACAGCAAATAGCTAATGAAGCTTCCACAGCATACTTGGCTTTTCTATATGGCATACCATCATGTTAACTGGTATCATAAGCTTTCATTAGAACACACATCACATGGATGAAAAATTACTCAGCTGCCGCATCTTCAACAGCAAACTACAGCGACCATTAATTAAATGCTTACGGTACCGATTAAATAAGAGATAGGGAGAAGCAGATCTCCAGAGGATCAACAGCTTGCTGGAGTGCTGCAGTTCCAAAGGTGGATCCAGGCACAACTCTGTGGTCACTCTCTTTAAAAGACCATTACCCTTGCCACAGAAAGCAGCTAAAGTCCTGCAATTTGTCTCTGGCGATTCCATAAGATTAGTATTTGACTTATTGATTATTAAATAACTCATTTTGTTTCACCCCATTCCCCCGACCACTATTATTGTGGTGATAGCTTGTAATTTGAGGTTTAAGGGCTAACACTCATGACCACCAATTCCCATCTGTACTGGATTAGTGAGCTTTTAATTTTTTTTTTTGTGATCTTAGAAGAATTTTCTTATTTCTATATGGAGAACATGAGTATCAAACAAACAAACAAATAAATATGATTACGTTCTTGCTGCTTACTCAGCACAAAGCATCCTCTAAGTTAGGACACACTTCCTCACTGGTCTGAGTGGGAAACAACTGTAAGACATGCATGGCTTAAAGACAAAATTACACAGAGGAACTCTAACCCAGGACAGGAAAAAGGAAAATTGTACATAGGTCGGGTACACAGGACAAGCTTAAGCATCACCACACTGAGCAGTTCACATTACTTAAACCATAAAGAAAAAATACTCAAGCATCTGTGTTTTTGCTTGTGAGAGAGTGTCAGACTTAACTTGAGCTGATCTTTGGGTTATCAATAGCTTGGGCAGTTTCTTATCACCACAGGAAGTAGGAGCGTAAATGAGCATAAGAGATGCTTGAACACTTAGCAGATACATGTGGTCTCTCCAAAAGAGAAATCTGGGTCTTGTCACGAGGCATTTACAGCCTCAACAGAAGTATACACAGAAAAAATTAAAAGATATACAGAAAAACTGACACATTGCAGCTATTGTCCTCTAGAACTGCATGCAGTGTGTCAAGGTCTGAAAGACACAACAAGAGGGAAGGCTCATATACAAAACCACCATGCTTTCCTCATGCTTCATGCTTTTTTTGGTCACCACTGTAGTTCAGTGAAAAGCACACAGCTTTTGTGAGGGCCAAGGAGGTAACCTTGAACATATGTGAGGACACCAGTTCCTTCCCTGTTTTTCTGTTGGATGTAAAGAGTTTGTTTATTTAGGTAAGTGCTTTCCACATTTTTACACAAACACTTGATGCATTATCACAACAGAAGGGCAACTTTTTCATAAAATAATTTTAGAGTATGTACATATATATATATATATAAACAAAGTCTATATAAAGGAGCTTAAAATAACAATTTGGATTTTGATCTTAACTAGTTAATTTATCTTGGAACTTACTCTTTGTACAGATCTTTGAAGAGGCATGATTACATTTTCTGGCATTCCAATCCAAGAAAAACTGCACAAAGACCCATTATTTTAAACATTATCCCTTTACATTTGGTTATAACCTTGTTTGACTGCCTATCATTCTGCTATCCTCAATTTCCATGTTCTTTATTGCAGCTCAGCAGTGGGTAACATAGCAATGAGAAAGGGACCAAGAGCTCCATTCGACACAACACTCACACAGAACACCTGAAATAAAACTATATGAGCAGTGACCATGATACTTCTAAGAGAACTTCTTCATTTTCTAACAAGTTTAATCCCAAATTCTGATTTTTCTGTCGAGTTGGTATTTTCTACATAAAACTGAAGCAGAATGAGTTTCCCCTACATAAGAGTTTGCAAATCACAGGTAAGAACCCAAACAACAAGTAAAAACACTCCCAAAACACCTCTATGCATATTGTTCTGTTCACTACATCCAAAAGCACCAACTAGCAGTTTTTTGGGCCTCTATAAGCAATCTGACCATTTATCATTATGTTTAACCTTAACAAACCATACGCATAACCCTTCATTTTTCAATAACTTAATAAGTCACTAACATCATTGCAAAAATAACAAAAAACCCTCACCTAATTTGACTTCCAAATATATTTCTTCCAAATGCACTCAGTTTTTCAAAGCTATGTTAATTGATGATACACTTGTGAAAAAAAAATTCAAACATAAAACACAGAGCACATACTAAGCTTGTAAGCAGAAGGATCACCACATCAGACAACAGAAGCATAACCCCTTGACACTGCACACAGCCACACCACATAACCCCATTTATGAAGTGACTGAATTTTGCTATCACAGCAATGCTGAACAACCCATTTACACCCTCATATTTCTGAGAGGATCTGGCATGAGGAGAAGTCTCAGCAATTCCTAACACGGTGAAAACACTGATCTTCAACCACTGAAAATACATAACCCTTGACAATCTGAAACAAAAGTAAAACCTTACTTTCCTTTATATGACGTGAGAAAAACAGGTTACACACCATCCTCCTCTACCCTTACTCTCTCCCTCCTCCCTTCTCTCAGTCATTATCTAACACATCACCGAAAGAAAATCAAAAAAAGCACACAGAAGTATTTACACGCATTCCCAATCTGATGCACATCAAGCGTATTAGACTTCGGAAACAGAAAAGGACTTACCCAACGTGTCTTTTAGATTTTTAACCAGAGAACCTTTCTTCAAGCTGTTTTTTCGCTCCACATAATTTGATGGCACATATCCCGTTTTGTTGGCCGCGTTTCTTACCCTCCACCATGTCTTGGAATCATCTAATAGCCAAAGACGCTCATTTTTCTTGATGTCAAGTTCTTGGTCCTGCTGTGCAGTGTAATCCCACTTTGCAATAACAATAACTTCTTCTGTCATCTTTCATGGAGTCCTTCTGCAACGAAATATTAAAACACATTCACCAATCAATTATATCCTGTAAGTCTTGCTCAAATTTTTCAAGCAGTTCTGAAATATGCAAGAAAGGGGAAGGGAAAAATGAGGAAGTGCTATAGAGAAAATAAATCTCAGAATTATATCCCTTCTTTAAAAATAAGGAAAGTTGGTGACCTTTGCTGCTTTTTCAGCCACTGAAGTATAAAAACACCTTGATAATAAAGTCTAGTCATAAGATTGCCCCTGTATGTATATGAAATATTATTCAGATATACCTTAATGCAGTAGAAGTTATAAAACCCATTTAGTTTTTTGCATATAGCATTATAAAACTATGCCGAAGTTAGAACTCAAAGTGAGAAAGAAAACAAACAATAACAGTATTTCCTTCCATCCTGGTTATGATACTTAATACACAAATCCTATACTCACACTCATATAGACAGATTACTTGCAAGTTTTCTGCATTTAAAGTTATCCATCTATAGTAGAAAGTTAAAAAATGCTTCAGTAAGTAACATAATTCAATGAAGAAATCCCTGCCATCAAGAGGGTACTGCTCCCATAAGCCTTGGTGCAGAATATACTGGAAGGGAACACATAAGCATAGTTTTAGAAGAAGCATTTGCTTTGTTTTTGCTGCCAGGACGAGACTAGCTCACTCCAGTCCTGTGCTGGGTGGAGAATAACACCCACTGCATTCTGGATGTTCCTCAATTTCTTCCCTTCACTGTACTTCTCCAGAGCAAAGATCTAGCAATCTTTTTTACTTATCCCTATAGCACAAACTACCTTTTCAGAAGCTATCTGCCAGTTGCATAAAGACAATCACATGCTTCCACATTTTTCTACACATCAGGTAATTACCAGAAACAAGGTAGCTCCGTGACAGCCAGCAAATGCAACAGCAAGCAATGTCAGTACCACTGACATTCTAATATATTTTATAATGCCAAACAAAACAGAGTTAATTTTATCCTCTACATTAGAATCATAGAATCGCATGGGGGAAAAAGAACTTGAAGATTATCAAGTTCAACAATCAACCTGACCTACTGAGTCCCACGTCCACGTGCCCGTTAAACACTTCCAGGAACGGCGTCCCTGAATCAATGGAAGTCCTGGAACACCCCAGTCGAAGGAGCTGGACCTGTTCAGCCCGAGGAAGAGGCGGCCCAGGGCCATCAATGTCTATAACAACTTGAAGGGAGGGCACAGCTAGGCTCATTTCAGTGGTGCTCAGTGCAAGGACCATATGTACAACCTGGCACAAAAGGGAGGTTTCTTCTGAACATCAGGTGCACTTCTGTATGGTCCTGTACAGAGCACTCCTTCCTGGGAATCTCCAGAAGCCACCCAGCCACAGCCTTGGGGCCAGAAGGATCCAGAGTGCCTTAACAGAGATTTTAAACACCATTACCTCACTTAGAAATTGTTCTATTCAGTATGCAAGTTATACACGCCACTTCATTCAGAAAGGGTTCCACCTGCAATCTGGAAGCGCACGTGCTTTCTCCATTTCCAACAAGAAAATGCAGAGGAACATAAAGTAGTTGAAAACTCAGTTTGAATATAGGCGTACAATGCTGACAGCCCCAAGATGAATTCAGAAAGTTGCAATGTTTTGCACAACAGAGGAGAATAAGAGCTCTGACAGTTCAAAACGCCTGCGATATATGCAGGTAGAATTGGTATTACAAGAAAAGTCATTATACCTTTAAAAAAAAATTTCTTCCCTTAAAACAGCAATCCTGTCTGACACTGACAAAGACATAGGAGAGCCCGAGCTTCAGAATGCAATCTCCAATAAACCGCCCTGCTTTCCGACTCACATGAAATGGGCAGATAGCCTACAAATCGATATGCTGATGTAGCCAGGGGGAGACTACAAACAAGCATGTTCTGGATGCCTGTGTTGTCAATATAATCTCTCTTCAATTTAGATTGGTTCATTTTACGCCAGCAATTGTAAAACGGTCAATTCACGCTATTCCTGGGGATACGGAGAGCATGAAGAAATAGGACACTATCAGTTAGTTGGCTGATGGTGTCACTACGTGCAGCTTCCAATTCTAAAAAGGTTTTTTACAACACCAACAGATTAAAATTATCTACCTGTATTACAAGCTGTTAATTGAAAATCATAGAATCACAAGGATGGAAAGGACCTACGCGATCATCTAGTCCTCCATCACCATTACTACCCACTAAGCTGCTAGAAAATAACACATTAGGCATAACATTTGACTAATGACTGATAGAGAACCAATAAACTCTAAATCTAAGGGGAAAAAAAAAGTAGCCCCTCATGGTAAGAGTCATCAAGCTTTTCTCCAAAGTGCTGTACAAGGACAGAGGCACGGGAAGAAAAATACACAAACATATGTCACGGCTGATGACATCAACTGTGTGGCCCTTAGAAATTCCCTCAGGACAGGGAGCCTGAGCTACCTGATTTCCACAATTCCAGCCTGTTGTTACATAAAATTACCACTCTGAATGAGAAATGATGTCATGACACCAGCAGAGCCTTGTGTTACAGTTTTTGCAGAAAAATAGGGGATCCAAGGTTCTCAGGTGGCATCTCATACAGAGCCAATGCATTACTACACTACAATGTTTGCGGCTTTGCTTAATGTCAGTAGCACAAGCATTCCTATCCAACAGGAGACTCCTTCTTTATAAAAAGTTAAAATGTACCATACATCTGCAGTTAAACATCTGCCTACTTAAAGCCATACAGAATATTTTATTATTATTATTATTTTTTTTTTTTTAACGTGAGGGATCAGGGTTGAACTTCTTAAAATTATTTCCTTATAGTTACTTCATTCAAGTGGCTCCATGAAGGACAACACAGTTCTTCCTGTGACATTTGCAGAGCTAACATTTCCTTGTATGTGAATAAGGACACGTTTGTTCTCCAGGAGGGGGGCAGTAGAATTAAGTTTTGAAATGTTTCTGCCACATAGCTGAAAACAAAGGATTAGAAGCAATGACATAAAACTGCAGAAAACATAAGGAATCAAAACCATTACAATTTTCTGAAGCATTCAAGCATTCCATATAAATTTGACATGCATTCAGATTGTGAAAATTCCTAAACATATTGCTTTTAGACTGCACAATCAAAAATACTGCAGTTCCTGCAGACTCCATGTTAACATGACTCTTCTGTATCAAGAAAACCCATTTCTGCTAAGAGAGCACAAGCTTGTGACACGTTCCTGCTCATAAAGTTCAAAAGCCCTAACAGTGAAAGACCAAACCTTCTCCTCACATCAGATATGAGAGTATCTCACAGTTTGAAAAACACCAAGGAAAAGCTACGAACAAATTCTGCAAACTTCAGGATATATCCCTACTTTCAGCCTCTCTTCTGCAAGCATTTCCTTCATTGCTAGCAGTGCCAGTAAGCTGATTTGTTCGGCCAGTATTGTATATGCAAAAATGTTGTAACTAACCAGTTACAAACCACAAAAAAGCTTTTACTGTGTGAATATTAACAGACTATAAAAGTTAAAGCCAAGCTTGTTTACCAGTCGAGGTCTTTTGGAGATTGTATCAGACCATATCTAATAATAAAAATGAGTGGTAAATGGCAATGCTTCCACCTGGACAGAAGCATACATACAGCTCAGGCTTACACTCTGAAACACGAGTGCCACTAGGAGAGCTTTAGTTGTAACCCTCAACACAGCAAAAGTGTCCAAAAATAAATTCTAGTTATTCTCCAAAATATAGGCAGTTTAAATTTGATTTCTCCAGAAAATATGTAAAGTTTTATAGAATCACAAAGGTTGGAATAGACCTATGAGATCATCTACTCCAACTGCCTGCCTACCATCAATGTTTCCCCACTACACTACAACTCTTAGTACAACATCTGAATGTCTTTCACACATTTTACACAGTAACTCAACCACCTCCCTGAGCAGTTTGTGCCAGTGCCTGACCATTCTTTCAGAGAAAAAATGTTTCCTAATGTCCAACCTGATATTTTCTTCTGGAGATTATAGCTAGAAGTTAAAAGTTAAGTAAGGAGAAAGTGAAAACAAAACTGAAAGCATTGCTCTGCAGGAGAAACTCAACATTAAGTACTGCATTAGAACGATAAGTGGTTTTATTACAGTGACCTCAAGCAACTCCACTGTGATGGCAGTCTCATTAATGTTATCAGTGCTACTATGGAAGTTCCAGGGCATCTTTCTACTGCCTTCTGTATCTAAGGTTCACAGAGGCAGCAGTAAACTTGAAAGGTAATATCTGCACTGTTTCACCAGAACAACCACTAGCAGATAAAACCAAAGGTGACATAGCTCAAAAGTGAAACACTAGAAGTACAATGTCTTGTGATTCTAAAAGTGCTGCAGATCTTTAAATGAAGACAAGACTTGAAGTATAAATGTCACAGAAAATGTCTTTAGGTGGAAATTTATTTTGAAAGAGTTATTTAGCTAGAAGTAAAAGAGCAGCTTTTGGCTACATCAAAATACATGCCTCGGGGAGGAAAAACAAGAAAGGAGATGGAAAAAAAAGATGACTTACTGAGAGTGAATTTCTCATTCATGCATAAAACAACAGTTACCAAAACTTTCACTCTGTTCTGAAATACAGGTTTTTTAAATCATTTTCCAGAAAAACTGTACCAATACTAGGAACACCTGTGTGCAAGGGCTGGATTGAGCTCAGAGTTTCAGCCATTTTGCTCCTCCATCCAGCTGATGGTTCTCTGTTAGGAGACAAGTTCTATCTTTAGCAGGAACTGCTCTACTCCAGAAGCCCACATGCAAGTGTTCTAAACACAAATACACCCTTTGGGGAGAGAAAATGGAAATTGTGCCAGGCTAGGAAGGCAGTAAACAACAGCTCAGTGAAGGGAAGTCGGTTACAAACAGACTGCACTGAAAGGCTGCTCAAACAGGTGAGGAACATTAGCTAACTCTACGACAAAACAATGCAAACAGTATTTCAGAATCAAGCTTAAATGTAGAGAAA